TGGAAGGGGGAGTTGGAGGACTGAGGAAGGTTCCAGGAAGCAGCCACCTTGGAGCCAGCAGCTTCACCTGCCAGCAGCCTCTCCTCATATAGTCCCTCCTCACTTGCCCTCTCCTTCTGCTGCGCATGGTGTACCCCTTCAGGGGGTGTCTCTGCATTAGCTTCTACTGCAGGCAGTTATGGGGGAGTGTCAGAATATATCTGTAAATGCCTATAGCTATAGTTAGTGTAGTTATTATAAACTTTGTTTGGTGGTGCACCTTCTTTGTTTCTTTGCTATATGTTGTTGCCAACCTATAGTGAAGCCATCTTTCTCCTCTCTCAACTTTCTCGACATTCTCCTTACCCTAGAACTCGATCTACTAAGAACCTAAACCATGGCTCCTAAGCCAACCTATGCCTAGACTTCAACATTTTATAGTAAGGCTGCTAACTTAACTCTCTTCTCCTCGGCCCCAAGCCTCGATGTCAGCCTTTGAATATTCATTTTCTCCTATGTCCCCTTTACTTTCCTTACTATAAACCTCTTCCTCTTCTTTGCTTTCACATGGATTTACCTCTCATGTTTTATCCTTCGGATGTAAATTTGTGCAGAGAAATGGAGAAATGGCTTGTCAGGAGTAACGGAGTGCCACCTGCGCTGCTCTCCTATCCTCCTCCCTCCTTGCGTTTCCTCCTTCAGGCAAGGACCGCAGTGGTGGCATGGGAAGAAATTCATTCAAGGTCAAGTCAGAGAAGGCCAACGTGATCCTCTTCTCATACTAAGGCTGCACACTCAACCCTCCTCTCCTCTGCCTCGAGCTCTTGATGACGGCTGTTCATTGCCATTCTTCTTCCCGTTGCTTCTCCTTGTACCGCCTTCTCTCCTCTGACCTCCATCTCTCTGCCTTAGCATTCCTTGCTTTTCTTTATGCCCCTTTTTCATGAATGCAGTGATATCCTCCCTCCCTACATTCAGTCCTGCAGGCAAGGATGGCATTGGTGGCTTGGGACGGACTTTAGGCACGGCTAACTGAGGCAAGGCCAACATGATCCTCTTCTCGTTGTAAGACTGCTGACTCAACCCTTTTCTTCTCTACCCCAAGGTCCCGATGTCAGCCTTCAAGTTCCTTTTAATTCTTTTTTTTTCTCCAGTGTCCTCTTTACATGTCTTACTTTTCACATGTTCCTCTCCTTTGGTTTCACTTGCCTTTACATCTCATGAGTCCTCATTCATATGTGATATCAAATAACGGATTGGTAGCAGTAACGGAGTGCGAGGGTGCACGAGAATAGCCCGTAAGTTGAGCCTTCTTTCTTGATAGGTTTTTGCGCCACACTCGTCTGGCACAAACCCCCATACTCCGCTTAATATTGTCCGATCCAACTCAAACACACAGCATATCATATAATGTCATATCACATCACATCGCATTGTATCGTATTGCATGGCTGTCGAAATATTTTGTCATGATTTATAATTGCTTGTAGTTGTAGTTAGTGTAGTTATGTAAACTTTTGTTGGTGGTGCACCTTATTGTGTTTCTATGCTATATGTACCCCTGAACCTATAGTGAAACGCACCTTTTCACCAATTTCTCTCAACTCACTCGATACATCGCTCCTAGGGAAAATCCCGCTCGATACCTAAGTTCGGGCCTAGGCTACTAAGCCTAGGCCCCACCTCTTAACTTACCTATTACTCTCGACATGTTATCGGAGCTTAGTGTTCGTCCTGGCCTGTGGGCCCGCTTTACTTCCGCTGCTAAGATTTTACGGTCGCGCGCCTAGGGCGCGTGACGGTTTTATTTTTACCTTGTCCCGCCCACGGGCGTGTGACTCCTTCCCTGCCCGTCGCGCGCCCCGTGGCACGCGACAGTGCCCTTCTACTGCCCATCGTGCGCCCCGTGGCACACGATGGTGCCCTGCTCGTCGTGTGCCCCGAGGCACACGATCGGGCCCTTTTATTCTACCCGTCGTGCGCCCCGTGGCACTGGCCCGCGACGGGCCTTTCCGCCCCTGCACTCCCTGCTGCCGCCCCTGACCCATCTGCACCGACGCCTCTTCGCCGCTCTGCGGCTTTCTTCCTTCCCACCCCCCCCTTTCTCTTGTCTCCCTGCAGCCGTGGGGAGGAGGGTATGGGGGTGGAGGGTGTTGGAGCGTGGGGTCAACTCTCTCCCTTTCCCTCCTCCTTCTTTCAGTCCCACCGCTGCAGCTGCCGCTGGGGGGGGAGGGTGTGAGGATGTGGGTGAGGAGGGGGAGTGGTACCGGGGTGGCGGGTGTGAGGCAACAAGCAGCCGTCCCTCCACCTCTCCTCTCTTCCCCCCTCTCTGCTGCTTCTGCAGCAGTGTGGGGGAGGGGAAGGAGGAGGGTGAGGAGATGGAAGGGGTACCTGCTGTTGCTGTAACTACATACCTACCTACAAGCATTATGGGGGCGTGTCGAAATATTTTGTCATGATTTATAATTGCTTGTAGTTGTAGTTAGTGTAGTTATGTAAACTTTTGTTGGTGGTGCACCTTAGTGTGTTTCTATGCTATATGTACCCCTGAACCTATAGTGAAACGCACCTTTTCACCAATTTCTCTCAACTCACTCGATACATCGCTCCTAGGGAAAATCCCGCTCGATACCTAAGTTCGGGCCTAGGCTACTAAGCCTAGGCCCCACCTCTTAACTTACCTATTACTCTCGACAATGGCATCGTATCATATCATCTCGTATTATATCATGTCATATCATATCATATGATATCATATTATATCATATCATATAATATCATATCATATCATATCATATCATATCATATTATTGGGTGTGTACCCAAATCATGTACATCATATCCAGGCAACACACAGCACATCAAATCATATCTAATTTTGTCATGTCGTGAATCTCAAAGCCCGTGTGCCTTGACCCCTCTTGTCTGCTTGCAGGACAACCAAAGCAGTTCCATGTGGCAGCCAAGGCAGTTCCATGTGGCGGCCAAGGCAGTTCCATGTGGCAGCCAAGGCAGTTCCATGTGGCGGCCAAGGCAGTTCCATGTGGCGGCCAAGGCAGTAGGATGAAGTCCACATGGGTTAGAGCTGAACCAGTTTAAATGGGTTATACTGGTAGGATATCTAGACTAGTAACGCTCTCAGGTACGGTAACCCCCTCCCTCCCCCCCATCCCATCCACTCCCCCCCCCCTCTCTGCGTCGGACTCCCCCCACACCCCCCTCCCCCTGTCCCTTACCCCACTCTCCCTGCGTTGCCGCTCCCTCTTCCTCCCCATGCGGCCCACCCACCTCAGTGACCCCCTGCGTATGCTAACCACAGGACTTGATAGGGCTCGTGCACACTAACCACAGGGCTCGTGCACACTAACCACAGGGCTCGTGCACAGTAACCACAGGGCTCGTGCACACTTACCACAGGGCTCGTGCACACTAACCACAGGGCTCGTGCGCACTAACCACATGGCTCGTGCGCGCTAACCACAGGGCTCGTGCGCACTAACCACAGGGCTCGTGCGCACTAACCACAGGGCTCGTGCGCACTAACCACAGGGCTCGTGCGCACTAAACACAGGGCTCGTGCACACTAACCACAGGGCTCGTGCACACTAACCACAGGCTTGTGCACACTAACCACAGGGTTGTGCCTAGGGGCATGCATACCACGGGGGGTGAAGTGGGAGCACAAGTTGCAGGTCCTGTAGAGTCGAGCACACTATCTACAGGGCTTGTAGAATCGAGAGCACTTACTACAGGACTTGCAGAATCGAACACACTAACTGCAGGAGCACAATAACACCAGGGCCTGTACCGTATATCCTAGCACACTAATCACAGGGCTTGTAGAACCAGTCACACTAATCTCAGAGCTCGTACAATCGAGGCCATTAACTGCAGAGTTCATACAATCGAGTAGACTAGCTGCAGCGCTTGTACTTTGAGCACACACTAACAACAGGGCTTGTAGAATCGAGCACACTAAGTGCATAGGCTTGTACAAACGAGCACATAAACTACAGGGCCTGTAGAATTGAGCACACTAACAACAGGGCTTGTAGAAACGAGCACACTAATTACAGGGTTTGTAGAATTGACCACACGAACTACAGCGGGTGTAGAATCAAGCACATGAACAACAGGGCTTGTATATCGTAATTGAGCACACTAACTGCAGGGCTTTTAGAATCGCGCACACTAACCAAGGGCTTGCAGAATCGGGCACACAAACTACTGGAGCACAGTTACAGCAGGGTTCGTAGGATTGTGCACACTAATCACAGGGCTTGTAGAATCGGGCACACTAACACAGGGCTCGAAGGGCCTAATATTAGGCCTGTAGAATTTAGCACTTCTGGTATTGTTTCCATATGGATTGGTTCCTCTTGCTGGATGGGCGAGCTAGTGTATCTATACGCGAAACTAGTCAAGTACCTGAGCAGCAAGAGGCACATGATCTTCAGAAGCGCAACCTGCGTCGCGGAAGCACCCGTCAACCAATCGGAGCAGATGGCGGCTGCTTCAGCCCTGGTTTATGACGCCATGCCGCTTCTGCTTCGATTAATTCACACGAAACGAAACTCACTTGGCACCACACGAAATCTCGTCCGTCCAATCGTCACCGTCGATTCCCAGCTTGCTCTCAGCTTCGGGATTGTCACAGCGCATGCCTCTCAACCTCATCGCACCCTAGATAATACACTTTGGTACCGTACAGCACCCCTCTCGCTGCTCTCGCTGGCGTGCTCGATTGCGACGACAAACTTGGAAACCTAGAATGCATTCCCAAGGTCTGTTCGCTTTGTTCGCTTCGTTAGCATTCTGCAGGCCTAAGCGTTTCCAAGGTCATGTACGTTCCTTTTTTGTCGGAATGCCACTCCCAGACAATGTAGGGAACGTCTACTAATGTCAGCTCGTCCACTGAGGCGTCATGTGAAACTGGAATGCTCAGTTTCCCTCCGCTGACTCTCCGGTGCAGTTTTGACTAGCTTACGAGCACAATTACTTACCGAGATTTGCTTTCCACGATGGGGGCGAAGCTGCAGGTCCAGCTGCTTCAGGCTCGGAACCTGGCAGCTAAGGACAGCAACGGTCTGAGCGATCCGTACGTGCGGATGCAGGTCGGCCGGAGCAAAGCGCGCAGCAGCACAGTGTATAAGAACCTCAATCCGACGTGGAATGAGGAGTTTCTATTTAGAACAGATAACCTTGAAACGGATGTTCTCCTCGTGACCGTGTGGGACGAGGATTACTTAGGAAAAGCGGATTTTCTGGGTCAAATGTCGGTGCCGGTAGCTGCGGTGGCGGCTGCGGAAGGGAAGAGTCTCCCGCCGACGTGGTATCCGCTCAAGAAGAAGAGCGAGCGGTCTCGCTCCTTCGTCTCAGGTCAGAAACTAGGAGCAGCTGCTATTCATGTTGAGAGATGTCCCGAAACCAAGAAATCTGGAGTCAAACTTTCTTTTGGATGTCGTCCGCAAGAGACTATTCATTCTGCAAGGCTCTGTTTGCGGGGCTAGGTGTGTGGCGTATTCTGAATGTTGTTTTGAGAATGATGAAAAACACCTTGCTTGCGGGATTTCGTGAGCGGTTGAGATATTATCTCCTCGGTCATGGCGTGGCGTCAGCCAGCTTGGAGCAGACGCGTGTCACGCCTTTCGTCGAGACATTTGACGCCTGTATTACGGCTTTCGCGCGTTCATTACGATATTTCACGCTGTTCTCATGGCATTTCACGCTTTTATTACAGCAATGCACGCCCATTTGACGCCTTTGGCATGACATATCACCCTTACATTACCGCATTTCACGCCTTAATCACCGCATTTCACGCCCTCATCACCGCATTCCACGTCTTTATCACGGGCGTGGCTCAACCATGAAATCCTTACAAAGTGCGGCGCACTTTTTCAACGCTATTCCCACGCGTCCCCTTCTCCCCACCGCCATTGCAACGTCATTCCACAGGCGAAATCCTTATAGAGGTCTCACTATGGGGCCTCGTGTCCCACGCGGCTCAATCCCAAACCGCCAGCCCTGTCAGCTCAACCGCCCTCTCCCCCTACTCCTCCACCCCATTCTCCATCACCCCTCCCTCCACCTCGCACACCCCCACTCTCCCGCTCCTAACCTCCTCCTCCTCCACACCATCCTCCCTCGCTTCCACCCCCGGCAACTACCACCCCAACCCAATCGACCCGGCTTACAACCCGCCAGCCACTTTCCAGCTCCCACATCCGGACCAGATGGGCCTTGCGACGATCTCCTCCGAGCCACATTCCCCAACCTCCTCCGCTGACTCGACCGCGTCCGCGCCTGGCGGGCTGGGCTCGCTGTCACTCTGGCTGTCAGGGCCCCTCTCCTCCACCTGCTCCTCCGCTGCTTCAGGCTCCCTCACCTTCCACTCTGGGCCTCTGATGCTGACTGGGGTGCCTTCTGCTGCTTCAGACTCTTCTCCTCCTGCCGGTGCACCGGCCCTCCCGCTGCCTCCTGCAACGAGTTCTTCCTCTGCTGAGGCCGACAGAACTGCACCGCTTCCTATACTGAATGGTGGGAGCTCCTCCTCCGCTCCTCCTACTCCCGCCTCAGGCGAGAGCGATGCAGCAACCCTCTCCGACCTTGCATCACCCACTGACAACCAGATCGTACCTCATTCTGCTGACTTGCACCTAAAATCCGTTGCTGAATCTCACGCCATGCAACACTCCACCTCTGCCCCAGCGCGCCCCTCCAAGTCCCACTTCTTCCACTCCTTCACGAAATCCAAATCCAAAACCTCCACACGCGGCCACGTCAGCACCATATCCGAATCCTCCGACGAATCCCCCTCTCCCATACCCCACAGCGCCCCCGCCCCAGCCCTCCTCCCTCACGCCGCTACAATTAACACCGTTCCCCAACACGACCACTCCTCTAAAGACCCAGCATACACAGAGGCAAACACCGAGGTCGCCTTTCCAGGAGCTAAGTCCGTGGGGCTGAGGCAGCGCTTGTCTGGCTTCACCTCCTCCTCCAAGGCTTCCCGCAGAGCCTCGGAGCAGCAGCAAGGGCCAGCGCACGCGCTGCCGAAGCAGCGCACTGTGTCGTCCTTTTTGCCGCGCCGCCGCCACTCCTCCACTGAGAATGCCCCTGCGAGGGCCAGTAAGAGCTCCGAGGGTGCTGCTGCGTCTCCCCTGCCGAAATCCGGGAGTGTAATGGGGGGTGGGGCAGGAAGTGGGGGTTCGGGAGCAAGTTCAGGGGATGATGGGGGCGAGAAGGGGGAAGGGACGGGGGCGGTGGGGGGGTTGGGCGGAGGGGAGAGCCTGGTGCCGCTGTCGTGGTTTGATGGGGATGTTAAGGGGGTGGCTTCTAAGGGGGATATGCCAGCAGCACTGGGGGGAGGGGTGGTGGTGGAGCAGTGGTATGGCGTGCCGGCCCATGAGCTGAACGGGATTCTCTTCAAGCCTGACTCCGACTTCTATGCTGAGTTCACTGCCGGTGAGATGCGGTGCCGTGTGGTGTAGTGTGATGCGGTGTGGGGCGTTATTTTGCGGTGCGGTGTGATGTGGTGTGGTTTGATGTTCAGGAGGAAATGCCAGTGGGAAGGGTGCAAGAGGACAAGGTACGTGCTGAATTGACTCTGCAATCGTCCGCATAGGCTTGACTTGTGTGGTGGGAGGAGGAGGCTGTTGAGGAAAGTGCAGCGAGGGGCGGTACAGGGCTAGGTGAGCTAGACGAGGAGAGAATGCACCAAATGTGATGCTTTTCCCTTTCCATGCAAATTGAAGGGTGTAAGCTTAAGGCCGATAATATGGGGCTCAGTCAGATCGTCTCGTCGTCTAACCAAGCCGAAACACTACCCTGCTGGCTCTCCTTCTCTCTACTTGCCCCTTATCCCTGCAGAGCGCAAGGTATCTCAGCTTGAAACAGGACCCTGGATTGAAGGTGATGCGGCTGCTGTTCCCTCCCTAGCCGACTCCCTCCCCGCCACCATCACAACGGCCAACTGGCCCGCCTCTCCTCCAATCAGCTCGCGGGTGGTCCGATACATGACTGCGCCCTCCTCTTTGGTCAAGTCTGTACTCGCTACAGAGCTGATGCGTTACAGCAGGGCAGACGCGGGGGGGTATCTGGTGGAGGTGTATGTGGCGACGCCTGACGTGCCGTATGGCAACACGTTCCGCACTGAGATGCAGTTCTGCATCACACCGGGACCAGGTGAGATGGTTCAGATGACACCTGCACCAGGTGAGATGGTTCAGATGACACCTGCACCAGGTGGGGTAGCTAGCTCTGCTGCCCTTTCTCTTCCTGCAGTCATGTCTCTGTAATAGCTTGATAGACGTTTCCTTTCCACCCACTCCCCGTGCCCCCCTGAACATGATCGCAGACGGCAGCAGCTGCCAGCTGCGTGTGTCATGGGCGCCGTGCTTCCTGCAGAGCACCATGATGAAGGGCATGATCGAGAACGGCATGCGCTCTGGGCTCAAAGACACCTACGTTGCTTACCAGACGGTGAGAAACAGGAGTGTGCTAGTAACCAGACAGTAACACATGTGCACAGACTTCCAGGTGGTTAGAGATATGTGCGCTGGTAAACAGATGAAGAGCATGATTAAAAACGGCATGCGTTCTGGCCGAAGAGGACACATATGTCACTTACCATGGCGCAAGAAAAGACGTGCGCTGGTTGTTTTTGAGAATTCTCAAAAACACCCTCAAGGACACATACGTCACTTATCAGAACGTACGTCACTTATCAGGACTGTACGTCACGTATCAGAACGTAGCACAGTCCTGACAACTGCTGACACGCTGCTGACAACTGCTGACTCAATGCTGACAACTGCTGACACAGTGCTGACTCACCATGCAGTTCTGTGCCGTAGCTTGATGCCAGGTGGATTCCCTGAATCGACTCACAACAAACATGCTCCATTTCCTCCCTCGTTTCTCTGTTCCCCTGTCCCCACAGATCCTGTCCAAATACGCTGCACCTGCCACCACCCCTCTCGGCTCCTCCTCCGCATCTGCCCTCCTCCCCGAGCCTCCGCCGAAGCAGCCCCTGATGGCTCGGCTGTTCAATATCCTTGGGCACTTTTCCATGCTGCTCTTCTTTGTCTCCCTTATAGTGCTCCCCACGCACTTCATACAGCGCGCCAAGGGCCTGCCAGGCGTGCAGTTTCTGCTGCTGGACCTGCCTGACGGGGTGATGGAGCTGCTGTGCACGGCTGTCATTGTGCTCTCTGCTGAGAGGGCTCTGTTTCGTCTAAGGAATATCATCACTTCACGGCTTCTAAGAAGTGAGTAATAAGGGAAGGATCAGGGGAAATGGGGAGTGGGAAAAGAGGGAGAAGGGGGTAGGGTAGGGCGGCCTGCCAGTGCCAGGGATGCAAGCTGTTGCTGCTGGACCGGCCTGATGGGGTGATGGAGCTGCTGTGCACGGCTGTAATTGTGCTCTCTGCTGTGTCGAGAAGGCGCTTTTCCGATTGAGGAATGTTATCACCTCGCGGCTCTTGAAAAGCGAGTGTGTGTGTGTGTGTGTGTGTGTGTGTGTGTGTGTGTGTGTGTGTGTGTGTGTGTGTGTGTGTGTGTGTGTGTGTGTGTGTGTGTGTGTGTGTGTGTGTGTGTGTGCGTAAGTGTGTGGGGGAGAAAGGGGCATGCCAGGGGTGTGGGTGCTGCTGCTGCTCGACCTACCAGATGTGCTGGTGGGGCTTCTCTGCACTGCTGCGATTGTGCTTATTGCCAAACGCAATCACAATTGCTGAGAGGTGCTGCGAGGTGCTGAGAGGTACTGCAAGATGTGGGGCAAGAGCAACCCTCAGAGGTTGAGGATTTCTTTTCTGTCTCTTCCCCACACCTGTCTTTGTCTTCCAGGGGGGGACCATGGGAAGATGGCGGAGGGAGAGGGGTGGCTGTTGACAGTGACGCTGGTGCAAGGGGAGGGCGTGGGGGAGGCAGGGGGACTCGGCGGCAAGAGCGATCCCTATGTGGTGTTCACATGTAATGGCAAGACACGCACGAGCTCTGTCAAGCTGCAGACCAACCGCCCGGTGTGGAACGGTGCGTGCACATGTGTGTGTCGGTGGATGGTGTACAAACAGAGTTGTGTGTGTGTGAAGGTGGATGGTGTACAAACAGAGTTGTGTGTGTGTGAAGGTGGATGGTGTACAAACAGAGTTGTGTGTGTGTGAAGGTGGATGGTGTACAAACAGAGTTGTGTGTGTGTGAAGGTGGATGGTGTACAAACAGAGTTGTGTGTGTGTGAAGGTGGATGGTGTACAAACAGAGTTGTGTGTGTGTGAAGGTGGATGGTGTACAAACAGAGTTGTGTGTGTGTGAAGGTGGATGGTGTACAAACAGAGTTGTGTGTGTGTGAAGGTGGATGGTGTACAAACAGAGTTGTGTGTGTGTGAAGGTGGATGGTGTACAAACAGAGTTGTGTGTGTGTGAAGGTGGATGGTGTACAAACAGAGTTGTGTGTGTGAAGGTGGATGGTGTACAAACAGAGTTGTGTGTGTGAAGGTGGCCCTTTTTCAGCCCTCAACTCCCTCTGCTTCCTTCCTTTTGTATTGTCTCCCATTTCCAACCCCTCTACTCCCCCTCAGAGGTGCTGTCCTTTGACGCGTTTGAGGACCCGCCCTCAACACTAGACGTGGAGATCTTTGACTACGACGGCCCTTTTTCCGCGCCAACAGCCCTGGGGCAGGCAGAGGTGGACCTCGTGAGATTCAGCGCCCAGGAGCTTTCCGACCTCTGGGTGCTGCTGCTGGGACGGCAACAAGCCCTTCCCCCACCCCAACTCCCTCCCCCGTCCTCTCCCCATCCCCTTCCCCCACCCCAACTCTCTCCCCTCTCCTCTCCCCATCCCCTTCCCCCATACCTCCAGAGGTGCTGTCCTTCGATGCATTTGAGGACCCGCCCTCAACACTAGACGTGGAGATCTTTGACTACGACGGCCCTTTTTCCGCACCAACGGCCCTGGGGCAGGCAGAGGTGGACCTCGTGAGATCCAGCGCCCAGGAGCTCTCAGACCTCTGGGTGCCGCTGCTGGGAGGGCCGAGGGCAGAGGCGCGCAAGGGAGGCAAGGCGCCGGGGCAGGGGCAGGGGCAGGGGCCGGGGCAGGGGGTGGAGGCGAGGCTGCAGCTGAGGGTGCTGCTCACGAGTACGAGTGAGGCGTCTCCCCCGATGATTCTTGAGAGGATCAGCAAGCAAGTCGGCAAGGAGGTGGGTTCAAACAAAGGGGTGGGCTGAAAGAAAAAAGGGGAGGGGAAGGGAAGGGGGGGGGGAGTGGGGGGAGGGGGAGGGGAATGGACATGATTTGGAGCTACAGATGCTGGCCCCTCTCTTCTTTCCAACTTACCGTTGCAGCTGAAGCCTTCCGTTCCCTCCAATAAGAACTCTCCTCTTTCCTTGTGTGCTGTGCTCACTAACTTCCCTTTCTCTCCACCCTCGCCTCCCCTGTCCAACCAGCTCCTGCGTATCTCGGACGAGAAGAACACGGCCTTCCATAACTTATTCGACCTGCCCGACAACGAGCCGCTTATCAACGACTTCTCCTGCGCGCTCAAGAAGAACCTCCTCTCGCAGGTGAGAGGCTGGGATTGCAGGTGAGCGGCTGGGATCGCAGGTGAGTGGCTGGGATTGCAGGTGAGCGGCTGGGATCGCTCAAGAAGAACCCCCTCTCCCAGGTGGGGCCTGACACTGTTTTTTGAGAATTCTCAAAACACAGATCCAGGTAGGGCCTGAGTTCTTGCTCCCAGTTTTGATCCCATGTAGAGCATCAAATGACTAGCTCTCATCCCTCCTCTACCGTACTCCCTGATCTCCACAACCTTCACCCTTCCTCTTCCTCCCCTCCCCTCCCCTCCTCACAGGGCCGGCTGTTCCTGTCGCCCCGCCTGCTAGCCTTCCATGCATCCCTCTTCCGAGTGCGCATAAAGCTAGCATAATTGACGAGCTCGAGCTGCTTGTACCCTTAACCCCTCTGCCTATACCCCTACCCTCTGCTAATACCACCCCACAGGGCCGCCTGTTCCTCTCCCCGCGCCTCCTGGCCTTCCACGCATCTCTCTTCCGAGTGCGCATAAAGGTGGCAGTGCGATGGGAGGACATAGACGAGCTGAAGGAGAACGCGCCCTCCATCCACTCCATCAACCCATGGACTTGCCATGCTCATACTGCCTAATCGTTACCCCCTCTCTCCCACTTTCCCTCTCTCTCCTCTCCCCAACCTCCCTCCCCTCCCCTCCCTCCCGTCCACTCACTTCCCCCATCACAGGGTCGTCTCTTCCTCTCGCCCCGCCTCCTAGCCTTCCACGTGTCCCTCTTCCGAGTGGGCATAAAGCTGGCGGTGCGATGGGAGGACATAGACGAGCTCAAGCTGCCAATACCCTTACCCTCTCGTTCCCATTATGCCCCTCTCACCATTGCTACAGGGTCGCCTCTTCCTCTCCCCGCGCCTCCTAGCCTTCCATGCGTCTCTCTTTCGAGTGCGCATAAAGCTAGCAGTGCGTTGGGAGGATATAGAAGAGCTGAAGGGGACCGCGCCCTCCATCCACTCCATCAACCCATGGACTTGCCACGCTCATACTGCCTCACCGTTACCCCCTCTCTCCCACACTCCCCTTCTCTCCTCTCCCCAACCTCCCTCCCCTCCCCTCCCTCCCTTCCCCTCCCTCCCCCCCTCACAGGGTCGCCTCTTCCTCTCCCCGCGCCTGCTAGCCTTCCATGCGTCCCTCTTTCGAGTGCGCATAAAGCTAGCAGTGCGATGGGAGGACATAGACGAGCTCAAGGAGAATGCGCCCTCCATCCACTCTATCAACCGCCTCCTCAACCCCTCCATCACCATCTACGTCAAGCCGGGCCGCGGCGGCCCCGACACGCGCAGCGCCGCGTACGGGATCGATCCTTCAGGGCGGCTCAAGATTCGCTTCCAGTCCTTTGCTCGCCCCACCATTGCCTTCCGGTCAGTGTTTCAGCCCACATTACCTTCTGGTAAGTGCGTGCGCAGTCAGTGCCCATCCCGCACTCCATCCACTCCATCAACCGCCTCCTCAACCCCTCCATCACCATCTACGTCAAGCCTGGTCGCGGTGGTCCTGACACGCGCAGCGCCGCGTACGGGATCGATCCTTCAGGGCGGCTCAAGATCAGATTCCAGTCCTTTGCTCGCCCCACCATTGCCTTCCGGTGAGTGTTTCAGCCCACGTTACCTTCTGGTGAGTGAGTGCGCGGTCAGTGTCCACTGTCCAGCCCGCCCGCCCTCCATCCCGACACGCGCAGCGCTGCGACATTGCGATAGTGTTGCCTTGGCCCTTAGATCTGGGTAAGAGAGTGCAACATTCGTCTTTCTACCCACCATTTCCCCATTCCCTCTTTCTCCCATCTGCTGGCAGTTAGCAGCGTTGTGGCGCCACAGGGCGCTGCCCCCCGAGCAGGCTGTGATGCCCACAGGCCTACTTATCCCTCCCCAACTCCCCCCCCATCCGCCCCATCCCTCCCCATCCCATCCCCTCCCCATCTCTCGCCCTCTCACTCCTCCTCCCAGGTTGATAACAGCGCTATGGCGCCACAGGGCGCTATCCCCCGAGCAGGCTGTGATGCCCCTAATTATCCCCCCCATCCGCCCCATCCCTCCCCATCCCATCCCCTCCCCATCTCTCGCCACAGGGCGCTATCCCCCGAGCAGGTTGTGATGCCCCCCCTCTCTCTCTCTCCCCACCCCACTCTTTCTCCCTGCCCTTCCTCTGCCACTCCTCCCAGGCTGATCACAGCGTTGTGGCGCCACAGGGCGCTGCCCCCCGAGCAGCAGCTAGAGAGAGCCAAGGAGGCCGCCAGCGCTGCCGCTGCTGCGGAGGCAGGCGGGGCAGATGGAGCGGCAGCGACAGGAGCAGGTGGGGCGGGGGCAGCGGCAGGGGCAGGGGCGGCGGCAGGGGAAGGGATGGTGCGAAGCGCTTCCCAAGGCGGGGTTGGGAGTGGAGGCGGTGGGGGTGTGGGTGGAGCAGCAGCAGCAGGGGGGAAAGGAGGGGCTGGAGGGGGTGTTGTTGCTGGCAGTGGTGGTGGGGCAGTGGGGAGTGACGGTGAGGGGGTGGAGGAGCAGGGAGGAGTGTGCACTGACGTGTATGAGATGATTGACTGCATCAGCACCGCGGTACCCATGACGGTGCGTGGGTGATGGTTGGATTGAAGAGTGTGTGCGTGTGTGTGTGTTTGCGTGTGTATTGTTTTTTGAGGCACCTCAAAAGGCATGCAGGTGAGAAGGCAGTGCCCTCAGACGTGTATGAGATGATTGACTGCATCAGCACCGCGGTACCCATGACGGTTACATGGGAGGGCTTGTTCCTAGTAACTGCATCTAATATCCGCACTCGCACACTCGCTCCCACTCACTCACACCTACACTCGCACCGACACATGCCCACGCTCACACCCGCACTCACACTCACTGACACCCACTCACACCCACTCACACCACACACACCCACACACTCACAGGTGGAGCAGTTCCTGTCCTGGCGATGACCGAGCAGCAGCAGCTGCAGCACAAGGCAAGGTGGCAGACACAAACTCAACGCTCATGCCCGCTCGTGCCCCCACTCACTCACCCACAATCACAGGTGGACCAGTTCCTGGCGATGACCGAGCAGCAGCAGCTGCAGCGCAAGGTGGCAGACGCCACCGGCCAGACCCACCTGGAGGTCTCCGATTGGGTGGCAGTGGACGGTGCGCCGCCCGGTGCCGCCCGGCGGCAGCGCAACATCAAGTTCAAGTTCTCCCGCCAGATGTCGCCGTTTGGAACCACCGTGTCGGGCGTGCAGCAGGCCACTAAGGATGCGACACCTGGCATGTGCACGTGGGCGACGCTGGAGGAGTCCATCACTCTGCACCAAGTGCCCTTTGGGGACTACTTCCAGGTGCGTGCCTGTGAGGAGATTTTATTACTAGTACTATTATTATTATATTATTATTATTACAATATTTTCCAAGGATGATGTTTTTCAATTTCTCCGTAGTATGTGCTTATGGGCAATGCTGGAGGAGTCGATTGCTCTGCACTAAGTGCCCTTTGGAGTCTACTTCTAGCTGCGTGCCTGATACTGTGCTGCCTCGAGGACTTTGGAAAAATTTGCAGGAACTGGATTGGAGTTGCATGAGCATTAGTTTTAGTGGTTGTTAGCATGTGGTTTTATGGTATGTACTCTGAATGTATATGTTGTGTATTGCAGGTGGAGACCAAGAGGGAGCTCAAGTCACAGCAGCTTCTGAATGGGAAGGAGGATGTGAGTGCGGAGGATAAGGCACATAGACTTAATGAGCGGGTGTCTGAACTCAAGACAACTGTGGGCATAACATGGCAAAAGCAGGCAAATGAACGCACCCGTGTCAAGATAAAGGCGAATGTTGGTGAGTGGTTCAAGGAGCACAATAAGAGAGTGCTGGACATGGTAGTCAGGGAGGCTATCGCAGCCACTCAAGGTTGATTTGTTTTACAAAGGTGGTATCTCTGGCAAAGGAAATAAGTTATCGTGTTAAGGCAAGGATGAGGGGCTCTAGAAGACTTCCTGGATACTGGACGGAAAGGGCACTAACCAGGAGATCGCAAAGGGGGTGGGAAATTATGGGTTCCCACGGGCATCAGGATACAGGATCTATGACCTGGTTTGCTAGTTACCATAAAATTGTAATAAGACTGATATGAGCAATTATGGAATATGCCATTACTAAATCGTGTTTCATTCTTGTGTGTTGCCGTCAGCGATGGTTTGTTAGCGGGAATTTCAATCCGAGTCTCTCTGGCGGCAGCCGCAGGTTGAGATCCCTCCCTGACCTACTAGTGAAGGGAACTCCCTCAGGAACTCCCTCCCTCACCACCAACCTCGGGAATTGCAGGCAGCAGAGAGCATTGGGAAGAAGATAGCACAGGGAACTCCGAATCTGCAGGATATCAAAATCTTATGTGGAGAACTCAAGCAGTAATTGGTCAGTCGGTGGAAGTGCAAAAATAAATCTGAGTTCGCCTACGATGATTTCTCCTTTTGATGTCTTTAAGATGTCCTTGGGAGCTGCAAGTGCTCGCAGTGCGTCGCATGGAGGACTGAGGCGTCGCAATCAGGACTGAGAATATTGCGACTTGAAAGCACTATTGAGGAGAACCTTTTAGGAGCATCGTTCAGAACCACCTTCCAGGAGTCGCGCACTGTTCATTAGGCGAGTGAGATCCCAAGGCGAGACGCTGAGGCGATCCTCTCACTCTACCGTTTACCGTTCCGCTCGAGTCACTTGAGATCGAAAATCGCCGAGTGTCACCGCTCGCCTTTCATGCTTCTCCCAATTTGATTCCCGATCGCGAACCCCTGAAGATCCGTCGATTGCAATCCGACGGTCATCCCGTCGTCATTTGATTGCAATCCGACGGTAGTCCGACTGCCATCCGACAGCCAATCACAATGATGACCAGAGGGCCCCGGGGGGGCCCGCGTCGGCCGCCGCATTTTCCGGCGGGTAAGGCGGGAGGCGACTGGTTCGCGTCGCTTCGCGGTCGAACCCTCCTGTCCATCGCTCTCGTCGCCGTCGTCGCCTCCACCAGGTACCGCTTGTCGCTCGTCCCTCGTCGCCGTCGCCGGCGTCGTCGCAGTCGTCGCCGTCGTCGCAGTCGTCTCCGTCGTCGCAGTCGTCTCCGTCGTCGCAGTCGTCTCCCTGCTCTAACAACCGATGGCTAACTCAGCATATCTGCTCCTCCGTAGATCCATGATCCATCCACATGTCAAACCACCCCCAGGAGAACCTGGCTCCCTCGCCGCACCTCGCCGCTCTCCCCAGGGATATGAGTGGATGTGGTTCGCCCTTCGCTTTCCCCACCTACCGTCCATCTTCCCAACACATCCAAACCCGTTCCCCCACCTTCCACATCCACCTCCCCCCATATCCACCCGCTTTTCCCACATTCACACCCCCCACATCCACCTTCCCCCACATCCACCCTCCTGCAGGCGCACCTGGTTCCCCTCGGCGCAGCTGGCGGCGCTGCTGGTGGAGCGGGGCGGGTGCGAGTTCCCCATCCAGCTGAACGCGCGAGGCGCGCTGGAGGGTCCGTGGGTGAATCATTCCTCGCACGACCACCACGCCCTCCTCGACCTGGTCTCTCGCTCCTCCTCGTCGTCCTCCTCGTCGTCCTCCTCGTGGGATCGGCGGCACGCGTTTGCGTCGGACGCGGACGGGGGGCGGTTGGAGGTGGCGGAGTTTTACTCCCCTGCGCGGTACCAGGCGATGGGGAAGGTGGTGGCGGCGGAGGAGGGGGAGGACGACGGCAAGGCGCCGTGGGGGCACGTGGTGGAGGGGCTGCTGACGGCCGGCACGCTCAGCACGGGGAATCGGCTCACGCTGGCGTTTGCACGGCTGGCTGAGAGGTTCCTGGCGTCGTGGGTGCGGATCGATGTGAGTTGACAATGGGGGAAAGGGGGTGTGGGAAGCTATCTGGATAAATGTGAGTGAGGGGGCGGAGGGGTGGGTGGGGGGTTGAGAGTGGTGGTGAGGGATAGGGGATAAGAGGGGATGGAGAGATCATTTCCTGGCGCATAAGTGTGTGCTCTCATACAGTGTGCCCTTGTGTTGCTCTGTTCCTGCGCCTTTGTGCGTGTGTGCCTGTGTCCCTGTGTGTGTGCGTGCGAACAAGCAGGGCATCAGCAAGGGGTTGGGAAAGGCGGGCATGGTGAAGCAGATCATGTTCCCAGCCATGGCCGTCAACCCCAAGGTACCCCTCCCCACTCCACCGCATCCATCTGTGTCTCACTCCTCTGCTTCTCCCTCACGGCACTTCTCAGCACCATTCCCCCCCTCCCCCACCAAGTCCCATACGTCGATCCGCAATCCCATGCATTCCCCCCCCACCACCCGCTTTCACTGCCCCCCATCTGCAGATGCAGCCATGCCTGGCGCATGTGCGCATAGTGCTAGGTCGTGTGTACTTCCGCTACGGCTCCTTCCTGGAAGATCCACGCAAGCTCAAGCGTGTGAACCTGGCAGTGAAGATGATCCTGCACGCCATCACTGCATACGACCTCCGATGTACGTCCGTGTCTATACTATCCCCTGTTATCAAATATCTTTTGCTATGACCTGGAACCAGTGGGGTGAACGTCAGAGGGCTTTTAAGGCGCCTCAAACGCATCATCCTGGCAGTCTAGACGATCCTCCACGCCATCACTGCATACGACCTCCAATGTACGTCTGTGTCCACACATTATCTGTTGTGACCTGAAATTAGTGGGGTGGAAGCTAAGGTGTGCGTCATCACTGCATACGACCTTAGATGTATGTCCTAATTCCAGGCGTTTTTTCTTCTGTCACACAACCTCAATCCGAACCAGGCTATTGTGTTCGCTTATCATTTGTAAACCCATCCTCAACTCCCCAAGCAACTCCTTTCCCATCTCCTCCCAACAGCACTGCGAGCGGAGCTATTCATGAACGCGTGTGACAAGCCCGTCAGCTTCGACAACTCGCTCTCCTCCAGCTCCTCCAGCTGCTCCAGCTGCTCGACCTGCCATCATTCTCCCCTCAGTGCCTCCTTCCCCCACCCCCTCTTCCCCCACCCCCTCTTCCCTCCCAACCACTCCCCCCACAACAGCACTGCGTGCGGAGCTATTTATAGACGCGTGTGACAACCCATCAGCTTTGACAACTCGCCCTCCTCTGGCTGCTCCAGCTGCTCCGCTCAGCTCTGCTCACATACGCACGCTCTACCTGCCAATATCTCCCCTCAATACCTCCTTCCTCCTTCTCCCCTCTCCCTCCCCTTCTCCTTCCCCCTTCCCACAACAGCACTGCGAGCGGAGCTATTCATAAACGCGTGTGACAAGCCCGTGAGTTTCGACAACTCGCTCTCCTCGGGCTGCTCCGGCTTCCCCGTCTTCAGCACGCAGTGGACCCCCGGCTCCACCGACATTCTCTTCCCCGACCCCCTCGACCTCGACTATTCCCCACCACAGCACACTGAGCACGCGCCCTGGGGCAAGGTCCGTCCCCTTTCTTTAATCTGTTAACGCTTTTAAGCCTTTCGTGGCGAGTTGAGCACACCCTGCTCTTTCAGCACGCAGTGGACGCCCGGCTCCACGGCCATCCTCTTCCCCGACCCCCTCGACCTCGACTACTCGCCCCCTGTTCATGCGGAGCATGTGCCCTGGGCCAAGGTCAGTCCCTAGTGTCTCTTGGGCTGCTTGCCGAACCATGTCTCAGATAGGCTAGTCAGCACGCAGTGGACTCCCGGCTGCACGGACATTCTCATCTCGGACCCCCTTGACCTTGACTAGTCCTCTCCACAGCATACTGAGCATGTGCCCTGGCACAAGGTGCGTCCCTTGTGCTCTGGTCAAGGCATGTCATTCACATCGCAGGCTAGTCCACACAAAAGCCGTACAACCTCATCTCACAGAAGGAGGGAAGGGCGGTGTGGCGGGGTAGTGGGTTTGAGTTGCAGCTGAAGCCGTACAACTGGGCCTCCAGCTTCTATAGAAAGGCCACATGAAGCGAGGTTGTTTTTGAGACGTCTCAAAAACAACCTCGCTTCAAGTTGCAGCTGAAGCCGTACAACCGGGCCTCCAGCTTCTATAGAAAGCCCCCCTCTCTGCCTCCCTCCCACCCCTTCTCATCCGTTCCTTGGACCTCTGTGCACCTGTCTGTCACGTGCTGCCTCCCCACCACATGCTGCCTCCCCACCACATGCTGCCTCCCCACCACATGCTGCAGAAGGAAGGCAGGGCAGTGTGGCGGGGCAGTGGGTTTGAGTTTCAGCTGAAGCCCTACAACTGGGCCTCCAGCTTCCGCCTGCGCCTGCACCGAACCTCCGACTCTCGCCCGGACCTGCTGGACGCTCGGATCTCCAGATTTGGCCCGATAGACCTGGCCGACCCTAAAGAGTTGCTCAAGAAGTGAGTGGTTCAGTGCGGTGCACAGGTGGTATGTCTTTGTGCTGTGTGATTTCTGTTTTGAGGAAGCACCATGCCATGTGGGAAGTGCCATGTGGGGAAGTGCCATGTGGGGAAGTGCCATGTGGGGAAGTGCCATGTGGGGAAGTGCCATGTGGGGAAGTGCCATGTGGGGAAGTGCCATGTGGTGAAGTGCCATGTGGTGAAGTGCCATGTGGTGCACTTCCCTTGTGTCCCTACCCGTTCACCCCCCAACCCGCTGCTCTCTTTCCCCGCCTCAGGCACGGGTTCGTGTTGGCGGAGGAGATGGAGGAGGGGATGAAGGAGTGCGCGTTCAAGTATATCCTCCCTCCCTTCCTCCTTCTCATCCCCCTCCCTTCCTCCTTCTCATCCCCCTCCCTTCCTCCTTCTCATCCCCCTCCCTTCCTCCTTCATCCCCCTCCCTTCCTCCTTTTCATCCCCCTCCATTCCTCCTTCTCATCCCCCTCCGTTCCTCCTTCTCGTCTCCCGCCCATCCTCTCGAGGGTCTCTTTCCCGCAGGAACGGGTTTGTATTGGCGGAGGAGATGGAGGAGGGGGTGAAGGAGAGCACGTTCAAGTATGTGGTTGTGGTGGATGAGATGGTGGGCTCTCGTGACACGTGTCGCGCTCTGAGTGGCCAGCAGGCCATCATTCGGCACCACTCGGGCTTCATGCAGTATTTTGAGCCGCTCATGCTGCCCGGAGTACACTACATCCCCGTTACACACAGGTCAGTGCTGCCTGGAGTTCAGTACATCCCCAATACATATGTGCATGCTTCTTCTTTCCCTCCATTGTGCATCTGTACCAAGAAAACTCATCACCTGCACCTACCCTTCTCCCCCATTATTCGTGTGCTGTCATGTGTCGAGCACTGCAGCTTCACGGATTTGGTGGCAGCAGTGGAGTGGATGAGGCAGCACGACGATGCAGTGCACACCGTGCTGCTCAACGCAAACGAGCTCGCCTCTCATGTGTGCACGTGGCAAAGCCGAGTCCACTACTGGGCCGTACTCCTTGCCAAATATGCCGCTAGAGCCATGGAAACCCCGCAAGCTGTTGTCGCACCGACTGTTTGTCAAGGCGGCAAGGCTGTTCTTTCCGCGGAATGGGCGGGTGGAAATGTGACGAAGCCGAGTTGTAAGGTTGAAGGCGGGGGTCTGTGCTCGGATTTTTGTGTTACGGGTGTGCCGGAGGAGAAATGGACGTGGTTGGATGCGAAGGAAAGCTTAGCTTCTGTTGAGATTCATGATCCTGTGGGACATGCTCAAGCTAGGGTAGCATCAGAGTAGGACCATTTTAGTTTTTTCATTCCAATTGAGCTGATTATGTAGTCATAACCATTTTTCGCTCGTAACTTTCCGCCTTTATATGATTTTTAGTGGTCAAATAGCGGGCATCTATTTGAAGTAGCGGGTCGAATCGAAAGTGTCATTCCCGCCTCCCACACCAGGCTTTTCATCGCCAGCTTGCTTCGCCATCTTTGCGACGCTTCGCGACCGTCGCCAGCCTCATCCATTTAGCTGTTCCAGATGCTATGTAGCTGCAGGATCTGGTAGCAGGAGCTGTTACAGGTCTGCTAGCAGGAGCTTGGCTACGAACCTGTGATCTTATATATCCCGGTAGAGGTCCTTTTATGTGGACCTGCGAGATATCTTTCCATTATTCCTGGATGTGCGACTCGTATGGTTTTTCCCGCGACGATTCTTGGGATATTCTGATTTTTTCATAGGCCTTATCGTAAAGCCGACGCGGGTTTTTCCGGTAGCAGATTCATTGTTGCGGTTACTAGTGACGAAACCGCAGCCATGTCGGGGGGTTTCTTCCGAGGGACCAGTGCGGATCAGGACAGCAGATTCTCCAACAAGAACGCGAAGCTGCTTAAATCGCAGAAGTTCGCACCGGAGCTTGATGAGCCGGCAAGTGCACTAGATGTTTCTTGTTGCCGGGGTTCACGCTTCTTTAACCACTTTTCTTTTACGCATTTAGCGAGCGGTGATGGACTTATTTCCAGCCGGTTTTGTTTTGTTTGTTTGTTTTTTTTTTTTTGGGTCCTTTTTTTTTTCCGCAGGTGGATATGACCAAGGTAAAGAAGGAGGTGATGCAGCCATGGATAGCCAAGAGGGTGACTGAGCTTCTGGGCGTGGAGGATGAAGTGCTCATCAATTTTATTTACAGCCTGCTAGAGGGCAAGGTATGGGAATTACTTACGAGCCTCTCAACACGCCATTTCCTTACAAAGGTCTTGCTGTCGTTTCACTTTTTATCGAAGGGTTTTTTTTCTTTGGCGAGGAGGCTGTTCAGAATCTTAGTTAAGTCTCGGTTCAAGAGCTTATTCCGATCGGTTGTGATCTTGTCGACAGCTTCGGCATCCACATGGCTTGGATCACTGCCCAGTCCCGCCATGGCATCAGGGTCGCCATGATTGCAATGATCGATGACTCATCACACTGCAAGGGACATCTGCTCTGCAGGATAACCCTGCTTGCCGTTCACCTTCGGTGCAGCAGGAAAGCCAGCCATGGCTGGCGGACTGGTAACCCTCCTGTTACCGTTCTGTTATCTTTGCCTGCCTCCTGCGTACCATTTGCTCGGAGCACTTGCAGAACAGCCGTCGCCGTTGTTCTTTTTCTCTGCCTCTCCTCTCCGCGTCCCACAAACCCTTCCTCCTCTCGCGTGCTGCAGAAGGTGGACGGCAAGCAGGTCCAGATTCAGTTGACCGGTTTCATGGAGCGCCACACGGCGCGCTTCATGCGCGAGCTCTGGTGCCTGCTGCTCAGCGCGCAGGCCAACGTCAGCGGCATCCCGCAGAAGTTTCTCGACGAGAAGGCGGAGGAGACGAGGAAGAAAAAGGTGCGTCGCGCTCGCTTGCTCGCTTTCTTTTTAGTCTCCCCTTCTCGATCGTGTTTGTTAATCTGATCCAATCTTGTCTAATATGATTAGCTTTTGCGTCCTCCTGTTATTTTTTACGCTGCAGGAAGCGGAGCAGCGCATTTTGTCGGAGATTGGGCGCAAGAAGGGGATGCAGCAGGGCTCGTTGCTGGGCCCTGGGACTGCCGCTGCTTCCATCCCCGTGAGTCGCGGTTGGGAGTGGTCAGAGACCCGCTACCACGAGTACTGACGCGCGACCTTAGTAGCTTAGCAAACGACAGCACACTAGCGCTCCCTTCGCGTCTCTCCAGCCTACGTCCAACGAGTGCCTTTTAATGTCTCCCTCTCTTCGCGGGTACCTCCCTGTTATGCGTGTGTGCGCTGCTGGTGCGCAGGGCGTGGACGTGGAAGCTGCTCGACGGAAGGCCGCAGAGGCAGCAGCGCGCCTCACGGCTGCCCTCCTCGGACATCCCGCTCCCGCCGCCGCTGCTGCTGCTCCCGCTCCTGCTCCTGCGCCTGCGGTACCAGCGCCGGCTGACCCAGCCGCTACTGCTGCCGGCAACGCTGCCGTCGCCGCCGCCACGGCCGCTGCGGCTGCGTTCACGGCGCAGGCTGCTAAGCTGGCGCAGGAGAAAGAAGCAGCCGCAGCAGCAGCTGCTGCTGCTACAGCTGCTGGTGGCGATGGTGGTGCCACAGGAACAGGTCAAGGGCAGGAGGATGAGAGGCCAGATGGTGTAGGAGCCGGTGTTGCTGCTGCTGTTGCTGATGATGACGATGATGCAGGTGGTGGCGAAGGAAAAGCGGAGCAGGATCAGGCCCCCTTGCCCCCCCCTCCTCGAAACCGCTCCCCCGCCCGCCGTCGCCATCGCTCCCGCTCTTTCTCCCCCGAGCGCCGCTCCCGGTCCCCACCCCGCCGCCGCCGCTCCGAGTACCGCTCCCCCCGGCGCTCCCCCCCGCCGTCGTCCTACCGCAGCAGCCGCTACCGCTCCCCGCCTAGAAGCCGCGGGTACCAGCGCGACGGGCGGTCGCCGCCAGGGGACTATCGGCGCAGAGGGGGGGGGTCCCGATCACCCCCCCCTCGTCGTTCGTCCCGGCAGGAGGAGTCGTTTGCGCGGTACCCTCCGCCGCCTGGCCGATCGATACGGGGGCGAGAGGAAGGCGGACCCGACAGAGGACGCGGCGAGAGAGGGCGGGAGGTGAGAGATTGGGAGGATAGGGGGAGGGACGTGAGAGGGCGGGAGGAGAGGATACGGGGTGAGCGACGGGTGGATGAACGAGGGAGCGGGAAAGACAGGGGCACGTCGTTCAAGCGCGGGGTTCCCGGTAGGAGTAAGGGCGGCAGGGAGGAGTATGGTAATGAATATGGTGACGAGGAGGACGAGGAGGAGTATGAAGAGGACGTGCGGGGTGTTGTGCGCAAGGAGGCTAGGAAAGGAGGAGCAGGGTGGCGAAATGTGGAGGAGGACGAGGCGGAGGAAGACGGGGAGGAGGAAGACGGGGAGGAGGATGGGGAAGGCAAGGGGGCCCGGAAGGGCAGGGCGGGTCGATTGGTGGAGGATGAGGGGGGAGACGACGAGGTGATGGTGAGAGGAAGGGGCCGCGGTGACGCGGGGAGAAGTGCCAAGGGCAGTGCAGGTGCGGGTAGGCATGGGGGGAGGGATGGGGGAAGGGGTGGGGGAAGGGATGGGGGGAGGGATGGGGGAAGGGGTGGGGAAAGGGGTGGGGGGAGGGATGTGGGCATTGCATCCCCCGATGCTGACGAGAGTGAGGGCGACGAGCCGAATGACCGTCTGGGTGCTTCCGAAAAGTCTGGTGGCAGGAAGGAGAGCGAAGGCCGAAGGGGGAGGGGAGGGGTTGAGGAGGAGGGGGATGAGGAGGAGGAAAGGTGGGGTGCGGACGGGGAGAGGAGGCAGGGTGAAAGGGGGAGGTATGTGGCGCGCGGAGGGGAGGGGAGCGGTTACGAGGGGCGTCCGCGTGAGAGGCGAGATGAGGAAAGGGGCGCAGGAAGGGGGGAGGGGCGCGGAGGGCGGAGAGCAGGGTACGAGGATGAAAGGGGAGGGGAGATGCGAGAGAGGCCAAGGGGTTTTAGCAGCAAGGGTCCTAGCAGCAAGGGGCCTAGCCGTAGGGAGGGGCCAGGGGAGGATTGGGAGGAGGAGGGAGGTGCTGGTGGCGGTGTTGGTGGCGGTGCTGGTGGCGGTGCTGATGCAGGTGATGCGCGGGGTCGTGGTGATAGGCATGAGGATGGAAGGGGTAGGAGAGATAGGAGGGGCAAGGAGCAGAGCGAGGAGGAAGCTGGAGAGGAGGAGGAGGAGGGGGATGAGGAGGCAGGGGGGAGTCAGAGGCAGTCTCGCAGCTTCCGCTCTTCCCAAGAACCATCTGCCTCTCTACAAGATGCTTCCCCTCCCTCCTCCGGTTCTCCCTCCCCCCGCCGTCCGACAAGGGAGGCTGGGACACGAGGGGACGGGCAGGGAGGTCAGATGGGTGGTGAGGGGTTTGGGAGGTTTGGGAGTGATGATTGGGAGGAGGAGGAGGAGGGGATGAATAGTGAGGAGAGGCGGGAGGCGAAGCGGAGGAGGAAGGAGGAGAAGAAGGCGCGTAAGGAGGAGAAGAGGAAAAGGAAGGAGGAGAAGCGGCGGCGGAAGGAGGAGAAGCGCGCGGCTAAGGAGGCACGGCGGGGGATGGGAGGGGAGGAGGAGCGAGGCAGCAGTGAGGATGAGGAGGAGAGACAGCATGAGGGAGGGGTGAATGGTGGTGAAAGGGGGGATGGTGAAGGGAGAGGTAAGAGGGAGAGGGAGCGGGAGGAGGGAGAGGGTGGGGAGAGAGAGAGGGGGGGTGGGGGGTTTGGGGGAAGTATGGAGGAGCTGAGGGAGAAGGCTCTGCGATCCATGCAGGCTAAACGGGCGAGAGAGGGGTGATGTGATGATGGGGAGGAGGGGTGATGGGATGATGGGGAAGTGGGGTGATGGGATGATGGGGAAGTGGGGTGATGGGATGATGGGGAAGTGGGGTGATGGGATGATGGGGAAGAGGTGTGATGGGATCATGGGAAAGAGGGGTAATGGGATCATGGGGAAGAGGGGTGATAGGGTTAAGAATTACTGGAGGGAGAGAAGGCCGCTTGTGGCCACTGGCCACAAGCGAGACAGATATGGCTAGGATAGACGAGCTGAGGGAGAGGGGGGTGGCAGGGAGGATGGGAAGGAGGGTAAGGGAAGTCAACTGGGCTGGACCCGTATGATGAATTTTGCTTGCCACTGGGAGGGATAGACATGACTTACTGGTTGAGTTGGTTGGTACACCCGTTCGCTGGGTTGCTTGCAGTGGAGAGGTGATCAAATGATGATTGATGGGGCTCCTATTTTTGGGTTCTGTGAGCGGTTGATTGAATGGCTCTGGGTTGGTGGAACAGGTTTTGCTCGTGCAGCCTACTTTCCACGCGTACTGGCTGCGTTTGTTCAAACAGCAGTTGTGTACTGCAGCCTGCTTTTGTTAGAAACATGCAGTTTCCTCTCGCATTAAGAAGCAATCATCTCGATTTGGGCGTAATATATTCAGTGCAAAGCATTTTGCTCAAGAGATGACGTTCTATACTTTAACGGAGCACCTTGTATTGTCGAAGAGGTACCCCCACAGCAACAGTTTCCGGCGGACCGCCCAGCCCAGCATCCAGATTCTGTCGCACATGCAAGTGGGAATCTGGCTGAACAAGTTCTGAAAGTTTTCGACGGCCAAAAACACAGAATATTTTACTCGTGTAACCCGCTTGTCGCGGCATTCCCTAGCCATGGGCTCGTTCGCAGGTCACATCATCCCCGGGACGCTTTTCCTGCTAGTGGGGCTGTGGCACCTGCGATGCAGCATTAAGAATTACCTCGCGGCGCCGCGAGCCTTCGTGTCGCGACTATGGCATCCCGCGCCGCTACCCGGCCACTGGGCGCGGCTCGAGCTGTACATTATAGTAGTGGGGTCGTTCCTAGATATGGGTTTAGTCGAGCTCGGAGTCGGAACGGGGTTCCATCCGATCGAGAATGGCGGAGTCGCGCCCGGCCACCTGAATAACTTCGAGGTACCTCGCACTTCCACTGAGCAGCGCGCATTGATCGGCGCGGACAGGAAGCTCAACTAATCAAAAGAAAGAAAGAAAGAAAGAAAAAACAACAACAACAAACAAACAAACAAACAAACATGCTCCATTTTCACCACATGTTTCCCTCATCCTCCCCCCCTCTTATCCTCCCATCTCCCCACACCTCTCCCCCCCAGCGCAGCACGCGGCGATGCTGCTAATGTTCTTCCTGCTCGGCTGCGCCCTTCTCATCAGCGAAACCACCAGGTCAGCAGTGTGGAAAGATGAACGGTTGATGTTCTGGGGGGGAAGGAGGGGGAAAGAGGGTGGGGAGCGGGGGATGGGATGGAAAGGCCATGTCCTCGCACCCATCGCACAGCCCATTCTTTCCCAATCCCGCCCCGCCCATCTCGTCCATCCCCCAATCTCTCCTCACCCCTCTCCAACCATCCCCACCCCTTCCTCCACAGCCTGCTCCCCCTCCCTCTGGGCGCGTTCCACATCCTAGCAGCGCTCGCATTCTTCTGTGAGGGGATGCTCTTCACTCTCCACTCCACGGCGCACCACGGCCTCGAGCCGCGCTACCACATGCTGCTCGCCATCGCCATTGCCGCCTGTGTCGTGTGTGCGCTGCTGGCCGCTGCCATGCCGCACTCCTTCCTGCTCGATGCCGTTGGCAGCGGCGCGATCGTCCTGCAGGGGCTCCTGTTCTGGCAGGTCAGTCACTCACCCACATGTACCGCACTGTACTGTACCACACCATGGTGTGCCATGCCATGCAGGGCCTCGGGTTCTGGCAGGTAACTTCACCTCCCACACATGCTGCTAGCTGTCACCATTGCTGCCTGTGTCGTGTGTGCCCTGCTGCTGCCTGGGGGCTGCTGTGCCGCACTCCTTCCTGCTTGACACGGTTGGCAGCGGCGTCATCTCTTGCAGGGCCTCTTGTTCTGGCAGGCCAGTCACTCACCCGCATCTTGGCACGACACTGTACCATACCACACCATAGCGTGCAATACAGAGCCTCCTGTTCTGGCAGGTCGGCATCCTCCTTCTCTGTAGCATACTGCACCGTACTGTATTGTATGCAGGGTACTGTACCATATGGTACCGCACAGCACCACAACATACCATTCCTCCTCTCTTTCATTCCCCCTCGTGCATGCAGACCCCCATGTCGCTGTATGGCCCCATGGTGCCAGCAGGCTGCTACTGAGGCCCTGATACCGTGCACAGCGACTCCGATGCAACCAAGCACCGAGCAAGAAATTCATGCCTTGATTCTCTCCCTCCTTCCTTCCCTTCCCCCGGCAGACCGCCATGTCCCTCTATGGTCCCATGGTACCAGCAGGCTGCTATCTGGGCCCTGACACCGTGCATTGCGACTCCGATGCAAACGAGCACCGAGCCATGGCCCTTGCCGTGCTGCAGTTCATCGCCCTCCTCGCCTGCACCCTCGTGCTCTCACTCGCGTATTACGGCGCGGTTGCGAGCGCTGCTCCTCGGTCGTCCCTTGATATTATCCATGCAACGCATGCTGTGGAGTGTGGGGAAGGGGAAGCAAAAGATGGTAGTGGGAGGGGGGATGGTGGCAAGGGAGAGGTTATGTTGGGGGCACTTAGTGCGCATGAGGACAGTGTGGACACAGGTGTAGGTGTAGACGAGGAGAAAGGCCTTCTATCTTAAAAAGGAGTATTTTGACGTAATGTATTATTTTGTACCCAAATCATTCCATATAATTTCTGCACCTGATTCGAAAAGGTTATCGTCTGGTGGTATTGTACGGTTGAGCAGCTGCTGTTTTCGTATGATCGATCCCCGAACGGCTGGAGTAAAAAACCCTTGTTATTCTTAACTCATCTGAATCATCTTCACCATTTTCTATCTGTAAGGAAATTCCCTTTTCCTTACTTCGCATCTCTGCTCAACGCGTACATCACTGTAGCACCTCAGTCAGCACCGTTACCACTCACAACCATCGCATCATTCATCATCCCGCCATTTTCGCACATCGCATCCCGACCTCACGGCTCGACTGGTAACCCGCGCTCCGGGCCTACGCTTCGACACGTTCCCAACCTCAGTCCCAGGCTCGTCGCGCGACCATTACCGTTACCACTGTAGTTTCGCTATATATTCTTCGCTCATACCTTCGCTCATTGTACTCTTGCTTCGATAGTGCAATTCTCGCTCGTTCACTCAATTGCACTCGTAACACTTGGTATTCAGAGCCTACGATCCCATCTCGTACCGCATCCACACCTTCACTTCCCCACTTTCTCAATTTTTGGGGGGGGTAGATGTCTCTCAGCGATACAGCACCGCCGCTCGTAGTGCTCTCTCGCAAGCACGCACGGCCACGACCGAGGCTCTCGCTGAGCTTGCCCGACACCCCCGCCATGGCCGATTTCACGCTCGCCACATTGACGCAGGAGCAACTTGATCGTCTCGTGCGTCAACTGGAGGATTCGGCGCTTGAAATCGCGACCCTCGCGGCGGAACGTGACTCCGCCCGTCAACAATCCACGATGAACGTACCGACGACATCCACAAACGCATCTGCACGTTCGGATGAGCCGATCATCATCTCGTCCGGCACACCAACACAACACGACAGCACGGGACAACGCTCAGGCGCAGCCAGTGAGGGCGCCGCCCAGCCGATGCCTGGCATGGGAGGAAACAGGATCGCACCAAGCCCACGGGAGCCTCGAGAAGTCCGTCGGCACGTGGAATTTGCGGCGACAAGTGGCGAACAACCCAACATGGCACCAATGCCGCTCAAGCCGCAACGCCCGCCCTGCTTCGACCCAAGTCAACGCGGCGGTCCGACAGTTCAATCGTGGGTCTTCACGATGAACGTCTTCTTCGACGCGAATTACGTCGAACCGGACGCAGCGAAGATTCGGTATGCCGTTTCGCTGCTAAGGGGCCTCGCCATGGACTGGTGGCGAGTCATCGTGACGTCGCCACGCGCCTACGAGCCACCGTCGCAAGAGGAAGAGCCCACGAGTCCAGCTGTCACCTGGAGTTCATTCTGCGAGACCGCCCAATACAACACGTGGGATGCGTGGTGCGCAGGGCTTCGGGCGCGCTTCGAGCTGATCGCGGCTTCTATTTCGGCGCGTCAGAGATTGCGCACTTTGCGGCAGCTCGGATCGGTACAAGACTATACGAGTGGTTTTCTCGCATTATGCGAGCAAGTCGGCTACATGCACGAAGCGGAGCGGGTGGACTGTTACGTCGGAGGGCTGAAGCCGGACATCTCGCACGAGATAATGCTGCGCGGACTCTCTAACTTCAACGAGATTCTCGCGCTCGCCGAGAAGATCGACATTCTACGCCGACCGAGACCGGGGTCCTATTACGGGCATCGTCCTCGGGGACCGACCGAGCACGCCACTGTACACGCCGTCGCAACGAATGCAGCTGCCGCACCGTTTAAGGGGCGCTGCTTTGCTTGCAACAGACCGGGCCATCGCAAGAGCGAATGCCCAGAGGAGCTGAGGCGCCGAGGAGCAGAGCAGGGGAGGGAGTCTTAGAGGCAGGGAAACGCCAGCAGTCAGTAGAAGTTGGGCCAACTACTGACGAGACTGCCTGCTCGCCCAACCACACCGACCCTCACCGAGTCATAGTACCGATTCATGCCATCGATCAGGCTTCGATGAATACGGAGGGTACAGCGACGGATTGCCCGGTACTAATCTACGGGAAAATACAGGGAGCAGCAGTGAAGATTTTTATTGACGGAGGAGCAAGTCACAGCTTAGTTAATACCGCAACCGGATGGAAATTACAGTTAACACTTAACCGATGCTTACCTGAGATAGATGCACGCTTAGTCGACGGCACGCCACTGGCTATACGGGAAAAGGTGGAGAGAGTAAAGGTCCGCTGCGGAGGGAACTTCGGGTTTACACAGGAAATGCTCGCAACGACACTGGATGGGCACGACATTTTATTGGGACGTGATTGGCTGCGACGGTATAACCCACGAATTGACTGGACGACGGGTAGCTGCACAGTGCGAAGTAGTGGTAACTGGGTCGTCCTACCTCGCTGGCAGCCACCCGAGTCTTCGACGGTCCAGGTCAACGCCATCACGATGAAACGGGCTGTCGCTGCTGGAGCTGACGTGTACGCAGCGGATATCGCATTAGTGGAAAAAGAGGACCGGCCGAGTGATTTGCAGAAACTGTTGGCAGCCGTACCACCCGAACTACAGGCACTACTGAAACGGTTCCCGGGTATCTTTCCGGATGACTTACCGCAAGGGCTGCCACCTCAGCGGGCGCATGACCATAGGATCGAGTTAGAACCGGGGGCACAGCCAACTGTACAGCGCCAATTTCGACTGACACAGCCCGAGCTCGACGAGCTAAGGAAGTAGTTAGATTACCTGTTAGAGAAGCAGTTTATCCGACCGAGCTCGTCACCGTTCGCCGCACCGATACTGTTCACACCGAAAAAAGACGGGGGGTTTCGCATGTGCATTGACTACCGAGCGCTTAACAGGGTAACAGTAAAATCACGATACCCCATCCCCCGCGCCGACGAACTGATCGACCAGCTGCGAACCGCACGAGTATTTTCGAAAATAGACTTACGGGGAGGTTACCATCAAATTCGGGTCGAACCATCGGACTGCGCCAAGACAGCATTTAGGACTAGGTACAGGTTATTCGAGTACACGGTGATGCCTTTCGGGCTGACCAACGCGCCTGCAACATTTCAGATGACCATGAACGAGGCGTTAAGGCCACTTTTAGATAAATGCGTCATAGTTTACCTCGACGACATCCTCGTTTACAGTCGGGACCAGCAGTAGCACTTAGTAGATCTCGAAGCAGTTTTTAAAAATTTAGAGGCACATCGGTTACTCACCAAGGGCTCCAAGTGCGAGTTTTTTCGGGACAGGCTAGAGTTTTTAGGTCACGTCATTTCGGAGGCTGGGGTTGAGATAGACCCTAAGAAGCTGGATACCGTAAAAGCGTGGCATCCCCCGACGAACGTCACGGAACTACGGAGTTTTTTAGGGTTTGTTAATTACGTTCGTCGGTTCGTCCCCGACATGGCACGCTTAACAACCCCGCTCACTGATTTACTGCGTAAGGGGGTCCCTTTTACGTGGGGGGAGAAAGAGCATGCTGCCTTCTCTGCCCTGAAAAATGTTCTCTGTTCACCACTCGTCCTACGCATCGCTGACCCACACCGCCCCTTCGAAGTTGTTACAGACGCGAGTGACATCGCCATCGGAGCCGTACTGTTACAGGACTTCGGCAACGGCCTCCAACCCATCGCCTACGAATCACGCAAGCTACATCCACCTGAGCGAAATTACCCGATACACGACCGCGAAATGCTCGCGATCGTGCATGCATTCAAAGTGTGGCGTTGCTACTTGACCGGCGCAGACGTGACAGTACGGACAGACCATCGATCCCTATAGTACCTTCGCGCACAGCCCCACCTCAACCCACGACAGATTCGGTGGCTCGACTTCCTCGAATTGAATTTCCACTATACGGTCAGATATAAAAAAGGAGCCTCGAATATCGCCGACGCACTGACCCGCCCCACTGCCCAAATACATGCGATACTACTCGCCCAGACCAGCCCGTTACTGACAGGACTATTTACCCACGGATATCAAACAGACCTTTTCTTCACAGGAGGAAATTCACAGCAATTCGCAGCAGCCAAGGGAGTCTATTACGTAAAAGCTGGATCCGACCGCATCTGGGTACCAGGGTACACGCTACTACGGGAACTACTGTTACAGGAGGCACAGGACGGAGTTACCTTGGGACATTTCGGAGTAGAAAAAACACGGCAGCAGCTGCAGCGGTACTATTACTGGCCGGAAATGTTGACCGACGTGCAACGACACGTGGCATCGTGTCCCAGGTGTAGACGAGGAGAAAGGTCTTCTTGTCAGTAGATCTGCACTGTGGATGCACGATTGATCCTGGAGAGGGTTACATGCGCGTTCGCCTGGGGGGTTATGGGCGCACTGACCCGCTACTGAAACAAGCCCTTTAATCCCAATGGTCTAGTGGTTGGGATTCTGACATGGTATCAGAGCGGTCTCGGGTCCGATTCCCGTTGTATGCACATGTAGGCCGTTGCCGCTGTGCTTAGTCCTGGGCCTCCCAATGTGGGGGGGTGTCAGTAGATCTGCACTGTGGATGCCCGATTGATCCTGGAGAGGGTTACATGCGCGTTCGCCTGGGGGGTTATGGGCGCACTGACCCGCTACTGAAACAAGCCCTTTTATCCCAATGGTCTAGTGGTTGGGATTCTGACACTTCTATCTTAAAAAGGAGTATTTTGACGTAATGTATTATTTTGTACCCAAATCATTTCATATAATTTCTGCACCTGATTCGAAAAGGTTATCGTCTGGTGGTATTGTACGGTTGAGCAGCTGCTGTTTTCGTATGATCGATCCCCGAACGGCTGGAGAAAAAACTCTTGTTATTCTTAACTCATCTGAATCATCTTCACCATTTTCTATCTGTAAGGAAATTCCCTTTCCCTTACTTCGCATCTCTGCTCAACGCGTACATCACTGTAGCACCTCAGTCAGCACCGTTACCACTCACAACCATCGCATCATTCATCATCCCGCCATTTTCGCACATCGCATCCCGACCTCACGGCTCGACTGGTAACCCGCGCTCCGG